CCGAAGTCTGGAACGGCGGAATACAATGGAACTTTTGGCGCTTCATTGTTTTCTTTTTCTTCATCATGTTCTGCTTCCCGGCATGGATATTTTTTGCATTGCCATTCAAATTCCGCTTGTGCAGAGCACCAGTCATTAAGTTCGTCTGTCATCTTGTATCGCACATCTATTTTACACTATTTCTTACCCTCGAGGTACTCTGCGTACTGCGACCAATCTATGAAATATCAAGTCCAATTCCAAACTGGTTTGAGTGGATCCTGCTACTTTGGTTAAGTGGTCAACTTGTTTCTGAGCTAAGTCCGTTTGGAGGCAACTCTTCTGGCTTCATCCGGCTAATCATCATTTTCCTCAGTGGTATGGCGACTGTCATTCATGTAGTAGCATTCACGTACCCTTCAATGTTCATGCATGATAGTTCAAATGAAGTCAAACTACATTTCACCCGTTCCGTGTTGTATCTCCAAAACCAAATGATGGCACTCGCACTGCTGATCAGCTTCGTTGAATTCCTCGAATTTCTTACCGTACACCACTTGTTCGGTCCGTGGGCAATTATCATACGCGATCTGATGTACGACCTCGCTCGTTTTCTCGTCATCCTTTTTCTATTCATGGCTGGCTTTACCGTCGCTGTCGCGTCAGTTTATCAACCAGCCTTTCCAAATTCTGCTTCTGGAGCAGCAGCCACTAACATCAGCATATTGACCATTGCGCAGCTACTGTTTTTCTCCTTATTCGGCCAGGTAACGGTCGACAATATGCCTACCATTGTTTTCTCGCCGAGTCTGGGAACGACGATCATCAAAATCGTCTACGGAGTGTATCTGATCGTTTCCATTATCGTCCTGATCAACCTGCTCATTGCGATGATGTCGGACACCTATCAACGCATACAAGCCCAATCTGATACGGAATGGAAGTTCGGACGAGCGAAACTTATCCGGCAGATGAACAAAAAGTCTTCGACACCGCCTCCAGTGAATTTGTTCACAAAATGCTACGTCTTGCTGAAAGTAGCATTCAGGAATCGATGTTATGTCATATGAACTAATTATTTCTTCTAATTTTCTGTTTCTAGGTTTATTATATAGTAAGAAAGCACAGAGAGATTTTATCGTTGAAGAGAACGAAGATGCCTATTCTCTGGGGGAAGCAAATCAGCAACTGATACGTGAAAAGGGCCAAGGTAACCGCGCTGTTATTCTACTTTATTTCCTTTTGACCATCAGGAGACTTGTGCGAAACCCTATATTGCAATTTTATTTCATATTTTGATATTACATTTTCAACATTTCTGTTTTCCTGCAAATAAGCATACTCTGAAAATTTAGATCTTGGTCCAGCGACCGAACCGGAATTAGGAACAACGTCCGAAAGCAAGATCGAAGACGTCATAGATTGGAAACGGGTTGTGAAGCTTTACTACCTGTATCAAGGAAATGATGACCGTCATGCAGTTGTGGAGGACGAGGTTGCTGAATGTGATTCGTAGCAAACGTCAATACAATGAGTAGGTTCTCGAAAGCGCAGTCCCTATATACGGAGTGCAATACTTCTTCATGAGATGGCATTGCTGTTCAGCAGGAATAGTTCTTTCTATGTACGATGAATGTCGTTATGTAAAAGCAATGTCAAAAATAAATTTCCCACTCATTCTTAGTATACACGATAGTTAAAATGCACTTGTAATGTGAAACATGGCAATATATTATTCGCATGATAAGGGTGCTTACCGAGCGGAATGGAACGTTTTTGCGTAGACCGATAATTGGTGTCAGCGCTTGGTCCTGCAGTTCCCGCACTGAATCTGTATATCTGGACAGTGGT